GTGTGTGTGTGTGTGTGTGTGTGTGTGTGTGTGTGTGTGTGTGGGGTAACTGTGCTTCTGTTGATCTGTTTCTTTGTGTAGGTGGGAAAAATGTCCATTTCACAAGGAGAGATGACAAAATAAAGACAGAAGAAACAAACAAAAGCAGACCAACTGTAGAACTGAATATTAATGAGAAACAGAGTGACTCWTTATGAGTCAAACACAAGGAACAGCAGGAGGGGGGGTGTCACACTTATTTCTGTCTGTTCATTAAGTTTTATATAAGCTTGGAAAAATATTGCAAAACATGTCCTGTTGCTATTTATTTTATTTTATTAGAAAATATAGCTGAGTGCTATAAATCATGAATCTACATGGCAGATGCTGTTCATTTTAATTTTTTTTAATCAGGGGAAACTATACAGTTCTAGGAAAGGAGTAAAAAAAGAAATGCAAAGTGAAAGAGCAGGACAAATTAAGCAGGCTTGTAAAAAATAAAATAAAAAACACAAGAAACTCATTACAACTTCAATTCAGCATGTAATTTTTTATCATTACCTATATTAGTACTAATAAAATCTTTACACATAAAGGCAGTTGGACGGCCTTGAGAATAAAGCATATTGCCACAAACGAGTCTAACAAATAAAAAAAAACTATTGGATTAATTGGACATAAATAACATGAAACGAAAGTAAAAATGGAAGCATCTAACATGTGACAAAGTAACTGTGTTTATTTGCAAATCAGTTAGCAATTTTTTTAATTTAAGATTTAGATTGCAAGTTTAAAACATTTTAACAAACATGAAAGGAACACGTTTCCAAATGYTAAACACTCACTACACACTTACATATATGCAAATGTGAACACTTTCACTCTGCAAGTGCATCAGCCCACAAAAATATAAAAGAGGGAAAAAAATTTATGTCATAGTACATTACCATAGACACACTGTCTAACAGGTTTGCATGCAAAAAGTATGCTGGTATCCTGCCTACATAATTCAAGCTCCGTTTAGATGAGCTTTGTCCATTCAGTGATCTAGTGGGAGAAATGGCAGCCATACATATTTCAAAAGAAAGAGAGGGAAATGAACTAAGAGATGCACTATTAGACATGCTGCACAAATCCATGGCAGGCAAGTGAATTGGGAGATTTCTGGAAAGGTTGAAATTTTCTAGTAGCATTCAATCTGCGGAGTTGAAGATGATAGG